GTTATAACAAAGGAAGTGCAGAATTTGACTTCTATAGAACTGTTTTCCATTTGAAAGAATATAAAGCAATGGAAAACAGACAAAATTATACATTATTTAGATGGAACCTATCACATTACATTAAGTACATCATTAGATTTGTAAAAGCAATCTTGCAGTCACTGTTTTGATTCAGAGGCTTTTGTATCTTAAGCTACACTAAATACAGAAGTAATTGGTATGAAAGATATACGCTTTTTTTTTTTTTTTTTTTTTTTTTTTGAAACAAAGTTTTGCTCTATTGCCCAGGCTGGAGTGCTGGAGTGCAGTGGCATGATCTCTGCTCACTGCAATCTCCACCTCCTGGGCTCAAGCAAGATACTCACGTTTTAATAGAATGTGTATTTGAATCAAAGTGCCTTGAAGTTTTTCCAGCTTCAAATATAGAAGGAAACTTTTCAAGGTTTAGTTCCGATATCTCAGTGCTGATTTGTGCCACTCAAAATGCATAAAACATGGACTCTTGGTTTGAGTATAAATGTCAAACAGTCTGGGTAGTTTGTGTTGTGACAAAGCATATTATTAATGCAACTGTTACCACATACAGTGGATTAAGACTGGATTAAAACCTGGATTCCACTTCAGAAAAGGCAAATCTATTATTCATTCATTCATTCATTCATTCACTCATCTTTTTTTTTTTCCCCTGGAGGTATCCAGGCCACATTTTTAATGAACCAGGTTTCCTGATGCCAGAGCATAAGGCAGATTCTCTTTTTGTTTTGTTCTTTTTATGAGATAAAACACGAATTCCTGACAAGACATATTATTTCCATAAACAACATTCCTTTCTTTTTCATCTTTTTTGGTTTCTGCAGGGTTTGACATGCTCATGAGTGGGATAGTATTTCCTCCCTGAAAAGGCTTGGATAACATCAGAGATAATTTTTTTTTCTATACGTTGGTTAGCAACAGAGCATTATCTCATTAAGAAGAAAGTCTGTGAATTTATTTTTATTTTTTGGAGACAGAGTCTCGCTCTGTCACCCAGGAGTGTAGTAGCGCAATCTCGGTTCACTGCAAGCTCAGCCTCCTGGGTTCATGCCATCCTCCTGCCTCAGCCTCCCAAGTAACTGGGACTACAGACACTCGCCGTCATGCCCAGCTAATTTTTTTTTGTATTTTTAGTAGAGACGGGGTTTCACCGTGTTAGCCAGGATGGCCTCGATCTCCTGACCTTATGCTCCGCCTGTCTTGGCCTCCCAAAGTGCTGGGATTACAGGCATGAGCCACCGCGCCCAGCAAGTCTGTGAATATTTTTATTGGCAGGTGAGATTTTCATCCCTATTTCAAGGACATTCATATTCCAATGGCTATCTAGTAAGTTGGGATAAATCCATCTATCCATCCATCCATTTTTAAAAATCGTTTTTTCTTTCATCCAACTATCCATCCAACAAGTGCCTACCATATACTTTTTAGGTACCAGGCACTGTGCTCAATTGTGTGTATTTACTGTTAGGTAAATACAAAACTACTTCAGTCCTTGTTCTAAAGGAATTTTCAGTCTAGCAGGGGAGACAAGTATTCAAAGCAACAATTGCAATATGGTAAGATACATGCTATTATGCAGGTATTATAGAAGCTAATGCATAGGCATCCCGATTACTTACTGATTAGTATGATAATACCTTACCAGGCCTTCAGGTTTTAGATGAGCTAGAGTCTAGCTCTAGACTGCCTAGGTTTAAATCCTATCCCTGATACCCATGGACAAGTTAGGTGATCAGTCTGTACCTCAATTTCATCATCTGTGAAGTGGAGATAATAATTATACTTGTTGCATAAGGTTGATACCAAGATAAAACTAGGTAATACATGTAAAGCACCGGAATTAGTAATATTTAGCAGTATTTACATACACTATGTAAATGTTAATTATAATTATCACCCCTACTTTTCAAAATGAACTTATCCATTAAAGAGTAGTCTCCCAAGATGATCTGCTGGGAGCAGTAAAACAATAGTAGAAATACTAGAAAATGAATTCCCATTTAATTTTCATATCCTTTTTCAATTTCCATTTTTGTGTATCTTATATGTATATATATGTGCATCTCATTAATATATATGTATATTAGCATACATATGTAGTTTATTAATGAATAAACCCATATGTAGACATTGGGGTAAATGTTATTCTATTTTTTTTTTTTTTTACTGTTAGGGTCCTCAGCCAAAAACTTAAAGATTATTTAAATAAATATGTGCATTAAATAAATATGTGATACCCTATCCACAGAAAGGACTTGCAATTTATAGTTTATAAAGCACCTTTATGTATATTATCCCAAGTCCAAGAAGACACTGAGCATATTATCAACTATGTACTTTTCATCTGCTTCTGATTCTTACCACTTCTAAATGGACAGAGCTGAATGGTGAGGCTACAGGCATACTAGAGTCAATGACTTGAGCAGTCAATGCTTCCTTCTTCCCTGATGAGGCACTTGATAGGTTTTGCAGGGCCTCAGATAAGTTGGCTCATATTTTGCTAGCATGTATTTTCATCATACTCACTCAGCTGCAGCTTGGCAATGACACATGAAATATAAATCTACTGAAATATAAGCTGAACATATCATTGGCCAACATTTTCTCCAGTGTGATGGTTGATAAATGGTCTTTTTTGGTGTTTACTTTTCAACATCCTATGAGACAAGCATACAAAAACGTTTACCATAGAGTGCAATCTGGTCTCTCCTGTCTGCATGATTCATTTTCAGATTTTCTTGTGTAAATGAAGCTGAAGATGCTAACAAAACAACAGCTGCTTAGCTATAAATTAGTAAAACAAGTTTCTCATCCAAGATTATTATTGAAGGGTTTTTTTTAAAGCAATTTACAAATTCGTGAAGGATTTTACTTAACACATTTACACTTGAAGCCATTTAGAGAAGGCCTGGGGATTAGATGGGAGCTGCCTCCTTTCCCCTTGCTGAGAATTTGGAGATTAATTTATCTAAACAAAAAGGAAAGCCACATTTGCTAGAAATTCCATAAGCTCACTACATATTTAATTGGGGGTCCATAAGAATCTGCTCATTAAAAAGCAAAGAATATAAGCTCAAAAGAGAGTTATCATCAACCTCTCATTGATTAGAAAAATAACACCGACAAGATAGGGATAATTAGTGGGAACTTTAGGCACACAAATTATTAGCTTTTAGAATTCTATTCTCAACTTAAAAAAAAAACAACCTATTTCTATTCCTTTTCCTTTTACCAAAGCTTGTTTTTCTAAATTGAATTATTTTGTCCTTTGCTTTTGTTTTGTGTTTCTTCATTTTTAAGGAACAAAAATCCAAAGGAATTGTCTTAACATAGAATCTACTCTGCAAGGAGAGCTGACTCAGCCCTGCTGTGGGCAGGTCATTACCTACTTTTTCCTCAGTTTCCCCATCCTTGGATGTTCCCCATCCAAGGATAATCACACCTACCTCATCAGCTTGTTTCACTAACATTAGCTAATGAATTTACACAGAAGCTTTCTAAAGATGGACTGTACTGATTACCATTACTTATGGTATACTTATTTACATAATTTGGGACATTGAATTTCTTAATGAGAATAAATGAACCTCAAGTTTAGAGAAACTAAACTTTTTTTTTTTTCCAGACGGAGTCTCACTCTGTGGCCTAGGCGGGAGTGCAGTAGCGCAATTTCAGCTCACTGCAGCCTCTGCCTCTGGGGCTCAAGCATTTCTCCTGTCTCAGCCTCCTGAGTAGCAGGGATTACTGGTGCACACCACCACACCTGGCTAATTTTTGTATTTTTAGCAGAGACGGGGTTTCACCATGTTGGTCAGGCTGGTCTTGAACTCCTGACCTCGTGATCTGCCCACTTTGGCCTCTCAAAGTGGAGAAACTAAACTTTTATTGTATGTGTCAATGTGATTTGGTCTTTTAAGAAAAGCAAATATAAAATGCAGGTTAATTTGTTAATGAAGGATGCCTTACTCTGTTTAATTGACAGATTATTCCTACACTATATATATAATATGCTCATAATAATTTGTTAAGTGTTAGGAAACATGAAGAAGACTATATTGGCTTCTTATGTCTGTTATTTTTTGAAGATCTTGATTTGTACTCTCCGAAAAGAAAACAAAAGAATGATGGGAGCATGAATCCCAAATATTACTTTTCTTATGTGGGTACTTCCCACATAAGAATCTGGTATTTTCAGATTTAGTGAATTTCATCCTTTTAACCTGAAGGAGTTTTTTGTTGTTGTTGTTGTTGCTGTTTGTTTGTTTCTGTTTAAAAAAATTTCAGAGCCACAAACACACTAGGTATAGCATATTATCAATGAATCAAAATACACTTATTGGGCATCTTCTATGTACTAGTTGTGGTATAAATAATGTGGATGAGTGATTTTCAAAGCGGTCTCAGAACCAGCATTATCAGCATCACCTGGCAACTTGCTAGAGTGGTAAATTCTTGGACCTCATTCAAGACCTACTGAATCAGAAACTCTGGGAATGGGGCCTAGCAATCTATGTCTTAACAAATGCTCTAGGTGATTCTGATGTTAGCTAAAGTCTAAGAACACAAAGGTGAGTTAAATGGAGTGTTTGTAACTTGCAAACTGTGCATACCTGTCCTTGTTTCCAGCATTTGGACCGACACAGTCTGTCAGAGCATGTCTTCCATATAAGTGCATCTATTCACTAATTATGTACTTGTGTTTTCAAGGTTGCATTTGAGAAACACAATCTGTATTATCACTTCTTGCACCTTCATTCTGTAAGCAGGAGTAGGTATTGAAGTTGTTCTGGGAGTGGGAGTTTCTCTCATCTGAATTTAATTTCTCTTGAATGCATGATCAGCCCCAAGCTCTGGGGTTTAGAATAGGGACTACACCTGGCCAGATGGATATTTAAAGACAGTGAAGGTGAAGCCCCGCTTCTAAGAGCAGGTACGATGGAGGGTGGTGGTGAGAGAAGTGGCAGCTCCTGGCTCATTCCTGGGCTCTTGGCTCTGGGTCTTTGGTGCATGTGTTTGAGCTCGGTAGAGACATTTGACTGTCCCAACCCAATGCTGCCTTCCCACATAAATGAGATCTTTTCTGCCAGGCAACATGGTTTTACCCTCACATTCAAAAGTAAGTATCTGGAGCTCTGGTCTTTGCCAGGGAAGGAGTGATCCAAAAGCTGCCTGGCAGCATTTTGTGGGACTGGTCAGGGAATAGGGTGTAAATGACAACAGATATTTAGGGCTCTTGTGAGTAGAGCAAGGAGTTGGGGACAGAATACTCCTCAGCTGGTCTAGCAGAAAAGGAATCTGCTTCCTGGTTTCAGCTCTACAGGCCTGGTACGTAGGATGTCTTTAAGCTTTATGGCTGATGCCCTAAAGTTCTCTGTGTAAGGATGCTCCAAAGTGTGAAGTACACAGCTGGTGGGCTGGGCAACTACAGTGTTTTAGGACATACAACAGGGCAAGTGGCTTGTCTTAGGTCATGGTGACTGGAATGGTTTTCAGTAGTAGGGCAGTCATTCTGACTTAATTCTAGGGGTAGGGTGATGGGAGTTGAGAAATCTCAGCCCATTCCTGGCTGCTGTGGACTAAGCACTGGCTTTGACAAGCTGAGACTGCTAAATCTTTGTCCTATCCTGCAAGGCTGGGTAGTGGGGAGTAAGAAGCTGAAAGGGAGGTGGGACTTTCCATGATAGCGGCCTCCTGGAGCTTCCCGTCTTCTTTCCCTACAGGCTCACAGTTCCTACACAGCTACTGGCTCCTCTGTTTTGAGGCAGTTCCCTTCTTGGGGGTTTCCTTGATAAACCTATGGGCTTGGGTGCCCATTGTCCCCCATGCCACTGAGCTTGTTCTAGAGTTCGAGGACCATCAAAGGGGCCTCCAAAGATTCCTGTTGGGATCTTTCCCCATTATCTTTTCATCCTACCAGTCAGAGGGAGGGTCATTATTGGAGATCTACTGTTTACTCACATATTGGATGGAGGTGGTGCCCACCCTCTTGGCAGAGACAAAGATTCCAGCCACTGATGTCGCTGATGCCAGCCTGAACGAGTGTTCCAGCATCGAAAGGAAACGAGATGTAGTGTTGCTGTTCGTGACCTCGTCCCACACACAGCCATCTCTGTTTCACCTGCCTTACGTCCAGAAACCCTTTATCCCTAATGTGGAGCAGCTGATCCTGGGGACCCCATGCCAGAATCACTGGGAGATAGGCGATGGCCAGAATACCTTTCCTGTAGAGAAGCTCTGCCATCTGCAGGATCGCAAGGTGAACCTTCACAGAGCTGCCTGGGGCGAGTGTATTGTTGCACCCAAGACTCTCAGCTTCCCTTACTGCCAGGGGACCTGCCTGGCCCTCAACAGTGAGCTCCGTCATTCCAGCTTTGAGTGCTATAAGGTAAAACATGGAACCTTGTTCTTTCTCTTCTGGGGTCATATTGGGAAAGCACTAAGTGCTCAACTCTCTAGGCCTGGCTCCTTTTGAGTCAAGGAAGCCACTGAAGTTGGCAATTATGTAATCTAGCACTGATGCAGTGTGTAGCATCTTTCCCGCACTGTGACCTTATCCCTTATCTTTGCATAAGAAACAACAGCTTCCTAAAGATTGTTCTGAAACAGCCCTGATCCAGCAGCTTCTCCCCAGGCCCTCCTCCTCCCTTTCCATCTATCCCTGACAAGTCTACCGATGCCCTTAGGTATGAGGCTGTGGCTATGAGGCACTCACCATTCTGCCATTTGTTTCTGCAGAGGGGAGTACCTACCTGTCCCTGGCTCTTCCAGACCTGCCATCCCACCAGGGTCAGACTCTTCTCCCTGATGGTCCAGGATGACGAACACAAGATGAGTGTGCACTACGTGAACACTTCCTTGGTGGAGAAGTGTGGCTGCTCTTGAGATACCCCAAAGCCTTCTACTGGCCTCAGGGCCATCTAAGTCTCAGGACTCTAGTAGGGGGTGGGATTAGTTTTCGTAGCAACTAGAGCTCTTTGAAGGGAGGTGGGATTTAGTTTGTTTCTCAAAGCACAGCAAGAAGGATGGCATTATGGCAGTAACCCCTCTTAGATGCTTCTCTTTGATGTGGGCAGGGGACCCCTAGTGCTGTTCTCAGTCACTCCTACTACTGGGAAGCTGGGCCCATTGTGATGTCTGACTGTTGCTGTCCTAGATTGTGACTGGGCTGGGCTTAGTGCCACCTCTGGGGTCATTTAGGTGGGGAAAGAGGAACTGGAATTGGACGCATGTCAGCTCTTGGGGTAGGGGTAAAATTGTTACTGGTGTTAAGCTGGCTTCGGACTCTTCTGAGCTTTTCAGCTGCTATCGTCCTTCTCTGTACAATTGGCATGGGACTGGTCCAGAACTGACCTCAGCATGTACGTTCCTCCTCACCTAACACTCCTGGCCTCTTTAGAGTGAGCAAGGACTCTGTGCAAGAAAGCATTCTGTCATGGGCTAGTCGTGGGTAAAGGGCCCCGAAGCCTTCACAACCTGGTGTCAGATGGGAGCTTGAGAGTGCAGGTTGTCGCTTGACTGATGGAGGGGGCCTCTGGCCTCATGGAAAGTTTGTCTCACTATCATTTAAGGAACTTGATGATATTAGCTTTTCTACTATCTTTAATAAAACTACAGTACCATTGTTGTGGGTCTCTTATGTTGGATATCTATTACTTAATGCTCTTGAGCCTCTGAATCAGAATGAGTAGATAGATGTTGGGTTTCAAATCCTATTGTCAAAGATCACAGGAAAGAAGCAACGCAATGCACTTTGAAACCAATATTCAGTCATAGCACTCACTCAGTGACTTCTAGTTTTAGGTTCTAAAACGTAGGTCCAAAGTAAGATACAAGGAAGTACTCCAACGCAGATATTAATACCAAAACTACTTGTTAGATTTCTTGAGGCAGAAGAGAAACTGAAAGTTAGATGACACTCAGAACCTTAGTAACATGTTGTCTGTCCTAGTGGGAGGAAGAGCATATCAGTTAAATTTACAATTTTAAAATGCGACTTTCTCAGTGGACATTCATAGTTCACGTTAGCCTGCGCCTTGCAGAGTATGCCTGTAGAATGATGGTCAGGGTGAGGGCTGAGCCTAAAGGAGGCAGAGAGCCATCTCTGGCTCTAGACTTTCCCAAGCTCGGTCTTGGCTGTGTAGTAGGTTTCATGAAATAAGGATGAACTAACTTCTGTCTTTTTAGATTCCTTTCTTTATATCTCTGCAACGGACGTTCTGACCAATCTATGCAAGTGGTTTGTGCTTTTAAGTTTAATAGCAAAGTATGCAATGTGAGAAGCTGACTTTGCAACCCCAATCCTAAACAAAGGTAGTGACTGTCAGGTGTGACATGTTCCCTGCCAGTCTGCTTTCTTTGTATATGAACATAGCCTTAAAACAATCCTATAGCTCCTTAACAAGGTGTTGTGGAGACATTTCAAAATCCTAACACCTTTTTTTCCCATGGACATTAGTTTGTATTTAATAGTTCTATACCCATTCAACTGATTCCCTTACTGATGGACATTCAAAGAGAGCATTTTAAAGTTACCCATTATTACAGTGCTGTGATCATCTTTGAATATAGATTCTTATATGCAAGTAGAATTGCTAAGAAAATGTCAGAGATGAAATTTGGTCTCCCCCAAAACTATGGCAGTTTACATTTCCCTCAACTGTGAGACCATTTTCCCCACACAGGGCAAGTCCTTTTGATAAGGGATACATTTCATTGTTAAGTTACATCTTTAAAAATGAAAATTTGAACATATCAAATTAGCCAGTTGAATTCTTTGAATTTATCAAGGATCAAGCATTTTTTGTCTTATAGAAACTCTTAATATAACAAAATATAGCAAATATATTTAAGTTTCTTTTCTACACGGGGGCATTATATGGGTAAGTCAATCTCTGACTTTATTGGTTCTAGGTTTCATATTTGGTCATCCCCACAAAAAGATAATACACATTCTGCCTCTTGTAGTTCTCGTGTTCATGGTCTTATTTATACATTAATACTTCTGGGCAGGGAGAGCTGGAGGCTCCCAGGCCATTTGTGTCTAGGCCTGACAGTGCCAATCTCTGGCCAGTCAAATGTAAGTGGGAGTCTGCAGGGTTTCCAGGAAGGCTTCTGCTTTGGAGTTGAGGGTCTGGTTTGCAGTAATAAAGTACTACATTACTGGGGGCAATGTAACAAAGATGACAAAGCTGGAAAGAGTACGGGTTCCTTAGGGCAGGGATTGGCAAGTTTTTTCTGTAAAGGGCCAGATAGTAAATATCTTGGGCTTTGTAGGCCATACAACCTCTGTCTACTCAACTCTGGTGTTGAAGCATAGAAATTGCCATTGAGGAAATATAAATGAGCATCTTTGTATTCCAATAAAACTTTATTCATGGGCCCTAACATTTAAACTTAATGTAACTTGTCACAAAATATTCTTTTCCCCAAGCATTTAAAATAGGTAAAGACCATTCTTCATTTTTGAGTTGTACAAAAGTGCAGTGATTGGCCTATGGGCTGTAGACTGTCAAACTCACCTTAGAATATCATTGAGCAGGTGGGCCAATACTAGCAGAGACTTCTAATTTATGAGAAATTGTATCTCTATTTAATTAGGCCACTGTTAGTTTGGTTTTTTGGTTACTTGCAGTCAAATACATTCTTATCTGATACAGTCTTTTTTTTTTTTTTTTTTTTTTTTTTAGTAGCCCACTATTCTAACCTTTTATTGACTATTTGAACTTCCCCCACCTTGATTTGGGCACTATTTTTTAGATCACATGTTAAATTTCCTTAAGCCTAATAAGTTTTTTTCTAACATTCTATTCTAATCCACTAATCTTTGTTCATTTTCATGTCCATATTAATTCCCATAGTTTTAATGGATACTTAGGATTCTGAGAGAATGTGTACCATATACTAAATCATTTTTCTCATGGAAGATGTCTGAATGTCTATATCTTCCCACCCACGAACATGATACAACTTTACATTTAATGGAGAAAAAGATCTGAATGAGTTCTCTCATTTTTATTTCATTTAAGCCTTGGCAATTTCTACTCGGATTATTTCTTGGTGATCTAGGTTGCTGTTAGTGTAAATGGAACTGCTAACTAGAATTACTTTTATGGCATCAGTCCATATTACTCTTCCCATTCTGTGATGAAACCATGTAGATTCAGAGCATTGTTTTTTTGTCCAACATGGAAGACCAACTCAGAGTTTAGTGCTTTCTACCATTGTACTTAGTCTTTGGAATGTGCTACTGGGTAGTTTTTTAGTTCTGTGTTTGAATTAGATGTTATTAAATACTAGTGAGTCCTTAGACTTGACATCATCTAGAACAGTAAAATGGTATTATGTACAACTATTGGAAAGTGGATTGAACTTGGTTGCTGATACCGATCTGAGTGGTTTGGATTTGTATATATTCTAAGCATCATGTTTTATGTCAGTGGGAACCCAGAATAGAGGCTCAGAATAAATTTAATCTGCATGTGCAGACAACTTCTAAAATATAAAGAAATAGAGGTAGCAAGTGACAAGACCTGGGCAAGGGGAGAATGCCAGCGCCTCATCTTCAGACTTACATTCCAGCAAGAAGGGACTCATGATGACATGCATTTTGAGGAGGCATGCTTTGTGCTTTGGTACCAGTTCTCAAAGGGGCTGAGGTCTGAGAGACAAACAGCCATCAAACCAGGTAGAAAGAGGGTACAGGTTGAATGAAGCAGCACCCACAATGGCCTAGGGAGGAAAGAGTAGGAGAGGGGTGTTCAGCTAAGCAGAGAAAGCTCAATAGAGCTGGTGTGTGGGGTTTGTGGTGGGAGGAGTTGAGTGGGTAGGCAGTTCTACTCTTCTGGGCAGAGTCCAGAGCGTCATGTGAATCCAAATACATAATTGCTTTCCTTCATGAAAGAGATTGTATAAATCATGTATTAATGATCACTTCTCTTTGGTGACTTGAATGTATTAATAAGTAATGGGAATATCTACTAAAGCTGAATACATGCATACCCTATGCTCTAGCAATTTCATTTCTAGCCACATATTTTACCAAAAGATATAGCAGCACTACATGTAAAAACCCCAAATTGAAAACTATCCAAATGCCCATCACCAGTAGAATACATTAATTGTGGCATACTCACACAGGAGAGTACTATTTAATGAGGAGGAATAAAGTAGAACTCTGTAAATGAACTGATAAATCCCACAGGCATGTTGAGGGAAAGAAGCTAGATACAGGGGAAAACAGAGCTGTATGATTCTACTTATGTAGAGAACAAACATCCGCAGAAGTGGGATGAGGCCGGGCGCAGTGGCTCAAGCCTGTAATCCCAGCACTTTGGGAGGCCAAGATGGGTGGATCACGAGGTCAGGAGATCGAGACCATCCTGGCTAACATGGTGAAACCCCGTCTCTACTAAAAAATACAAAAAAAAAAAAACTAGCCGGGCGAGGTGGTGGGCGCCTGTAGTCCCAGCTACTCGGGAGGCTGAGGCAGGAGAATGGCGTAAATCTGGGAGGCGGAGCTTGCAGTGAGCTGAGATCCGGCCACTGTACTCCAGCCTGGGTGACAGAGGAAGACTCTGTCTCAAAAAAAAAAAAAACAAACAAAAAAACAAAACAAAACAAAAAAAACACCACATACACACACAAAAAAGTAGGATGAACACTTCAATTCCATTTATATTAAATAATCCAGAGTGGTAAGATTCATAAAGACAAAGTAAAATAGTGGTTGCCAGGAGCTAGAGGGAGAGAGGAATAGGGAGATATTGCTGAATGGGTATTGAGTCTCAGTTATGTGAGATGAAAAGAGTTTTGGAGACGGATGCTGGTGATGGTTGCACAACAATGGGACTGCACTTAGTATTCTACTGAACTGTACACTTAAAAATGGTTAAGATGGGCTGGGTGCAGTGGCTCATGCCTGTAATCCTAGCACTCTGGGAGGCCAAGGCGAGTGGATCACGAGGTCAAGAGATGGAGACCATCCTGGCCGGCATGGTGAAACCCCGTCTCTACAAAAAATACAAAAATTAGCTGGGCGTGGTGGCGTGCACCTGTAGTCCCAGCTACTCGGGAGGCTGAGGCAGGAGAATCGCTTGAACCCAGGAGGCAGAGATTGCAGTGAGCCAAGATTGTGCCATGGTACTCCAGCCTGGCAACAGAGCGACTCTGTCTCAAAAAAAAAAAAAAAAAAAAAGTTAAGGTGCTAAGTTGTATATATATTTTACCACAATAAATGATTTACAAATGGCAAAGCAAATGTTGTTAGATTAACATTACTGTTAGCTGAGTGTAGGGTGTGGGGTGCAAGTATAAAAGGAGCTCTTAAGTGTGGGGGAATGTTCTGACTCTTAATCTGGGCAGAGGCCTCAAGGGTGTGTTCAGTTTGTGAATTTATCAAACTGTATACTTACATGCACGTCTGCATGCATATTACATTTCAATAAAAG